CTGCCGGCCGCCAGCCTTCACTTCTCACTTTTTTTTTTTTGACACAAGAAAGCCGCCTCTTCAGCGCATGCGCGGCAGCCGACAAGCCAGAGAACGTCTGCCCTCTAGCGGCGCCGGCCGTTCTACACAGGAAACCTCCACTTTACATGTCCTTTACATAGTCCTACAGATACAACCGGCCCTTTGAGGGTGACCAAACTGCTGATGCGGCCCCCAATGAATTTGAGTTTGACACCCCTGCCTTAGGCTGAGCCAAATTATATGGCTAGCCCAAGAAGCCTTTGGCCTCCAAGTCCCTCTGCCCTTCCTTCTGGATCTTCTTTCCCCATCCTCTTCCTCTGTCTTTTTCTGTCTGACTCCAACAGCTCCAACAGCTCCAACTAACTCTGCTGAATAGCACCTGGCTATATATACACTTCCTTGGGGCGACCCTAGCCAATCACAGCGTTTCACTCAGAATTCTAAACCAGCAACCGCCAATCAGAATACACATCGCTCCAGCCCCTCCTCAGCTGTCCGTCAAAGTTCCCACAGTGACAGTTAAACGGACTTGCACTGACCAGAGAGAAGACTTGCCCCGTCAAACACATTGCAATAACAAATGCCGGAACTCGTTGCACGGTTTAAACAGGCAGGTTTTCTTCCCAGTCAATCGTATTTGTATATTTGAGCCCTAGAAGGAAAGGGGAATATGATCCCTTCCTTACCAAAGGATTTATGCCTGAAAATCGAAGGAAGAAACAGTTCCGATAAATTCATGATTGATGTTTTATCATGGGCGTAGCCAAGGGGGGCAGGGAGGGGCAGCTGCCCCCCCAACAAATAGAAATGAATAAAAAATACAGCTAACTGAGGTTCTGCCCCCCCAACAAAAGACCTGCCCCTCAACAAAAACCCTGACTATGCCCACGTGTGAGTGTGTGAGGTATAAATTATTGTTGTTATGATGATGATGATGATGATGATGATGATGCAGGAGAGAAACTGAGCAGCCTCTTTTCACGTTCAGGAAACCAAAAAAGTAGTTCCCCTCCAGCTCTGGCACTGAAAAGCTGCACAGCTACGTTCCCCTCTTCCCTCCGCAAGGCTCTTTCCTCTCCTGCCCCTACACAGATTTGTTAAGAGTTCAGAGTAGAGGCAGGAGGGGAGGAAGATCCTTTAAAACCCAATCAGGGGTTTTGGGGGGCACTTTGTAGTTGGATGGGTGTGGATTTTTATGGGGGGGGGTGTTTTTCCTCCTTTTTATTTTTAAAGAGCTCCTTCACCCATCCACCGCTGCCCCGCAAATCCATTTCCTCCCACCCCATATATTGCAGTCGGGGCTTTCCAGGCAGTCTGGCAGATCAATGCAGCTGAGTGGAGCCCCCATTTTGCAGCCCACTTGCATGGATCAGCACCACCACCCCATGGTGGGAAGGGGGATTCTGTTTCACTGAATGGCAGAGTTGGAAGGGACCCCTCAGGGTCATCCAGTCCAGCCCCCTGCAACGCAGGAATCAACAGAGGTACCCCATCCAATATGAAACCATACTGGACCCTGCTTAGCTTTGCAAACGTGCCAGCAGTTTTATTGCTGCGCCACTTCCCCCAAATGCATCCTCCTCCTGCACCTCTTGGATCCAGGCCTCCACTCCACCCATCAGCTTTGCCAAAAAATGTCACTGGGCCCCGTTTCCCTCCCTGGAAGACCAAGGAGTGTGCCCCCTCCCCATAGTCTCTCCCACCTCACTTTCAAAACTTCCTGCCTCTCTAGGAACAAGAGCTCAGTCCATTTAACCATTGGATGGCTGAGCTGCAGCAGCCTTCTCTCTCCCACTCTGATTTTGTGTGTTTGTGTGTGTGGTTTTTAATTCTGCTCATGTTTAAAAAACATGAGAAGATCTCTGCTGAGATCAGGCCAGTCTAGTCCATCATTCTGGTCCCAGCCTCAATGGGAAGCCCAAAAGCAAGTTCTGAGTGCGACAGCACGCCCAATCTGTGGCTTCCAGCAACTGGTGTTCAGAAGCAGTGTTTACTGCCTCTGACAGGGAGGTAGAACATATCTGAATTTGTACCTGGATAGCTCTTTCCTCCACAAATTTGTCTACTTCTCTGTGTCTAATCCATACCTGCCTCTTGCTGGAGTTCCATAGTTTAACTATGTACTGCACAAATCGCAGAATCATGAGTGGGAAAGGAACCCGAGGGTCATCTAGCCTGACCCTCTGCAATGCAGGAATCTCAACTTAAGGCATCCATGGCAGATGGCCAGCCAACCTCTGCTTAAAAACCTCCAAGGAATGAGTCTCCACCACTTACCGAGGGAGTCCGTTCCACTGTCGAACGTTTTTTAATGTCACAAACCTCTTCCTGGTATTTAGTCGGAATCTCAGAAGCCATGTGTTCGAGTCCTACCCTCCACAGCAGGAGAAAACAAGCGTGCTCCACCTTCCATGAGATATCTGAAGATGTCTATCCTATCTCCTCTCAGTCTCCTCTTTTCCAGGCTAAACAGACCCAGTTCTGGGTGCCCCAATTTAAGAAGGATGTTGAGAAGCTGGGAGGTGTGTAGATGATGAAGAGTCTGAAAACCAAGCCTGAGAGGAATGGTTGAAGGAGCTGGGTATGTTTGGCCTGGAAAAGAGGAGACTGAGAGGAGATATGATTCTAACATTGATGCCGCCTGCTGAGGCCCCTATGCCTTGCCACCCATCTTCTGAGGAACCCACAGTAACACTTAAGTGTGTGGGGGGGGAGGGAGCAATGCCACCCTGTCTGTACCCCTTCACTGGTGCAGAAGATGCCATCTCTTCCTCCTGGTCCTTGACAGAGAAGGCATTCTCTTTGTGGGACCCACATCGTTTGTTGAATTCATCCTGTTCTGTTACGCCTGGAACAGTCTTGACTTGCTTTATAATTGCATACAGTGCTTTTTTCTGGATAGGACGCAAGGGTACGCATACCCCCAGGGCCGTCTTTAGCATATGCGGCACCGGGGTGCAAAGATCCACCCAGTGCCTCCAAATATTCATCTTGCTACTCCTGCTGCCGCCTCCTCCCAAGTAGTAACAAATGCTACTTTACTGAGGGAAGACTGGGGGTGTGGGGTCAGGGAGGGAGACGCTGCCTTCCCGCAGGGGAGCCTGGGGGTGTGCGGTGAGGGAGGGAGGGAGGCTTGGGAAGGAAGTTGCACACCAGCCAGCCACATACCGTATTTTTTGCTCTATAAGACTCACTTTTTCCCTCCTAAAAAGGGGAAATGTGTGTGCGTCTTACGGAGCGAATGCAGGCTGTGCAGTTATCTCAGAAGCCAGAAAAGCAAGAGGGATTGCTGCTTTCACTGCGCAGCGATCCCTCTTGCTGTTCTGGCTTCTGAGATTCAGAATTTTTTTTTCTTGTTTTCCTCCTCCCAAAACTAGGTGCGTCTTGTGGTCTGGTGCATCTTATAGAGCGAAAAATACGGTAGTTGGCGGGGCGCAGCTTCCATCCTAAGCTTCTGCAGGGATCGCTCTCCTCCCGCAAAGGTTTGGGAGGCAAGCTGCACGTCCGCCAGCAATATGGTTGGCGAGGCGCAGCTGGCGGGCGTGCTGGGAAAGGGGAGGCCGCCGGCAAAGCTGCGAAGCTCCCCCACTCGCTGGGGCGCTCCTGAGAGGCCAGCGCCCTGCCGCAACGAACCACTAAGCCCTATGGGAAAGACGGCTCTCCAGTTTACCCTAAACATTTTGTGCATCTTTGTACTTTTTGTCCATTTACCTGTATCTTATTTTTTCCCAATTTGAACTATAAAATAGTGATTATTCAATTGAGGACCAAAAGGGAGAGTACCCTAAACATTTTTTTAAGGAAAAAAAAGACTGAAATTGCCTATTAAATGGTCTGTAATCTGCCCTCCCTGCGACCCATACGTGATGGGCAGGGAAGGAAACCTTAGAAAATTTTAAAATAAATATTCCATTTCCCCTTTCAAACGAGGGAGCAAGTAGTTAATAAAAAAAAGCCCGGATCCTACATGACGGAAAGTTCTGCAAAAAAGCAGCAGAGTGCCAGGTGCTGAAAATAAATGGAACAAAAGTGGGCTCCAGAACATGGGGGAAAGCGCAAACCCAGATATTTCGAAACCAGTGGATTTCTAATGAAGGGGGGGATGTCCTGAAAGCAAGTTCTGCTTTTATTTAAACAAATGCAATTGTGTAAAATTCAAGCTCTAAAACGCTGCGGAATCCAGAAAGAGATTGAAAGCACTGAGCTCTATAGTATGCACAGAAATAATCACTCTCCAGCGCAATGGATTGTCTTACATTCAAAACTGCTATTACACATTAGAGTTACAAAAAACACACACACACAAAAAGCATACCCTGCCCATCTGCAGAGCTTTCCGAAAATTCCCAGTTGTTCCATGGGGGGAAGGGGGGACACTGCTTTCAGCTCCCTTCAACATAACAGCCTTTCCCCAGCAACACTGAAGCCACAATGCATTTAAATCACTGTGATACCACTTTAAAACAGTCATGGCTTCCTCCAAAGAATTGTGGGAATATCACAGAGCTACAAATCCTAGAGTTCCCTGGCAAGAGGGATAGCCTTTTTAGCCACTCTGGGAAATGTAGCTCTGCTAGGGGAACAAGGGCATCACCTAACAATGCTCTACGTGGGGCTACCTTTGAAGGTGACCCAGAAACTACAACTAATCCAGAATGCGGCAGGTAGACTGGTGACTGGGAGCGGCCGCCGAGATCATATAATATCGGTCCTGAAAGACCTACATTGGCTCCCAGTACGTTTCCAGCACAATTCAAAGTATTGGTGCTGACCTTTAAAGCCTGAAATGGCCTCAGTCCAGTATACCTGAAGGAGCGTCTCCATCCCCATCGTCCAGCTCAGACACAGAGGTCCAGCTGCGAGGGTCTTCTGGCAGTTCCCTCCCTGCAAGAATTGAGGTTACAGGGAACCAGGCAGAGGGCCTTCTTGGTGGTGGCACCCTCCCTGCGGAATGCCCTCCCATCAGATGTCAAGGAGATAAATAACTATCTGATGTTTAGAAGACATCTGAAGGCAGCCCTCTATCGGAAAGTTTTTAATCTTTGATTTTTTTAATGGTCCTTTTAAAATTTTGGTGGGTGCTGCTCAGAGAGGCTGCCTAGCCACAGCCTTGCCCCAAACATTTGACAACGATAACGACACAGGATGACGGCAAGAGGGGAATTTCGTAGCTCGCAAACGCAAAAGGAAACAAAGCGATGGGACTGAATAGCACTTGCCCAAGAGTCAAACTGCTCATCTTTTAAATAAAACAAAGAATTTCCCATTAATATCGGTCTCCTTGCCAGATGAACAGGGAACCGGCGCTGAACCGTCAGCTGGGTTTGTAAGCAAGGGACCGTATATCCAGAGTTTTCCTGTGTGGCCTCTCTGATGTGAAGAAGCGCTTGATCTCTCCTTGAGGCCCTTCCCAGGCTGCAGGCACTCCTTTGGCTTCTCCAGGGAGTGGCTTCTCTGATGAGCAATAAGGCTCCCCCTGTAAGTGAAGCTTTTCTCACACTGTGGACATTCATAGGGCTTCTCCCCTGTGTGCATTCTCTGATGAGCGCTAAGGCTTGTGCTGTGACCAAAGTTTTTCCCGCACTGGGGGCACTGGTACGGCTTCTCACCCGTGTGGATTCTCTGATGGGAATAAAGCTGGGCTTTCTGACTGAATCTCTGCCTACACTCTGGGCATCGGAAGGGCTTTTCCCCAGTGTGAGTTCTCTTGTGAGAGGTGAGCCTCGACCTCCGGCTAAAGCTCTTCCTGCACTCAGTGCACTTAAATGGTTTCTCCCCTGTGTGGATTCTCTGGTGGGTGGTAAGACTTGTGCTCTGGCTGAAGCTCTTCCCACACTCCATGCATTTAAAAGGTTTCTCCCCTGTGTGAGTTCTCCGATGTGAAGTAAAATTGGACCGGTGATTGAAGCTCCTGCCACACTCCTCGCATTTATAAGGTTTCTCCCCTGTGTGGATCCTTTGGTGTATCATGAGTGTCCCTCTTTCAGCGTAGCTCTTTCCACATTCAGGGCACTGAAACGGTTTCTCCCCTGTGTGGGTTCTCTGATGAGCGATAAGCCTCACGTTGTGGCTAAAGCTCTTTCCGCACTCCAGGCATTTGTACGGTTTCTCCTCTGGGTGGGCAGTATGTTGGTGGCTCAAGCTCAATTCCTCTGTCAAAGTCTTCCCACCCAATGGATACCTTTTCCTTCTCTCTCCCTTGTGAAATACACGCAAGCTCAGGATTTCCTCACCCAGAGAAGCAGAGGATTCAGTCCTCTCATCCCTGGAGTTGTTTCCATCCAGCATTTTAGGTCTCCTTCGCTTTGCAAACACCCCTTTCCCCGCTTCCTGCTGGACTCTTTCCAAAGGCACCAGAAATGGCTCCTTGTAAATTTCATATTCTTCCCCTTCACCTGCTGGGGAAGAGAAAATAAAATCTCAATAGTGGTTCAAGGTAAAAACTAAGACCTAGCAGCTTATCTTTGGTCAACATCTCCAATATTCTTCCTTTTCCTCTTTACACACTGCGCTGAGACCTAGGTTACCTTTGGTGTATGCTAGTATTTCAGAGAACAACACACATTCATTTCAGGTCCATTCCACACTTGATTTCTGCTTATCACTTTCCATAATTTTAACATAATGGGGTAGACAAGAAAAACCATCTTGGGGAAAAGCTCATTCTTCTGTGGTTGCTGTTGCTTTGAGGGGAAATCAATTGATCAGCTACCAAAACAGTCACTACAAAGGTTTGTTCTGAAGTTCTGTACACCAAGTTACATCCAGCTAGATGAGCATTTGTTCTGAAATTGTAGTCTAGGAAGGGCAGCTATTGGGGTGAGCTTTCGTATTACAATCTTTCTGCCAGCGAACTGATTTGTCCTGACTTTAAGTAACCAAACAAATCCCAGTGTTGCAAAGAGAATGTCAGCAATGTCTAGACTACACGATAACCATGTACATACGCAATAAACAAACTTTATAGAATTCCATCAAACCATAACAAGTACAAAATGAAATCTTTAGGCTCAAAGTCTCTGAAAATCTTTAAATGAAGCGAGGTACCAGACTTTGTACGATGAAAGACAAGCTGTGAAGCTTTGTGTATTCAGCAAATATGATGTCCAACACAGAACAGTGATTCCGGATATTGACTACTGTTTCGTAGAATTCTTCGTCAGCGTGGTGGGAGGATATAGAATTGCTTCATAAACCCATCTCATTTCAAATGAATGTATGTAAATGAAAATATCAAATGCTGTGGAACAGTGCTCATGTAATAATGTAGTCACTGCTCAATAATAATGTAATAATGTAGTCACAGTAGTCAATATCTGAGACTAAAGATTTCATTTTGTACTTGTTATGGTTTGAAGGAATTCTATAAAGATTGCCTATTGCATATGTACATTGTCCTGACTTTAGGCAGGCTCTCAGGAGGTGGGACTCCAGGGGAGTTGGCTGACACTGGGCTCGGGGGCAGGTGGGTGGTCCAACAGAGTCAGAAGCCAAGTTCCAGAGCAAAGGGGGTATCAGACAATCCCCCAATATCAGCTATCTGGGACCCTGCGATTGGCAGGAGAGGCCTTGGTGATGTTGCTGGCACTGGCTGCTGCCCGGTTGGTGCTGTCCCATGGCAGGGCCTTCTTGGTGGTGGTCACCCATTTGTGGAATGCCCTCCCCGATGAGGTGCATCTGTTGTCCTCTTTATTGGCTTGAAGAGAGGGAGATTAAAAACCTTTCTGTTCACCCAGGCCTCTGATGGCTAAAATACATTGCTATTGGAAACCTTGAAACGTTTGGCTTCAAGTTACAAGAAAGGAGAATTCTGACGAAACATCGGGAAGAACGCCCTCCAATCTCTGCTTAAAAACCTCCCAAGGAAGGAGAGTCCACCACCTCCTGAGGGAGACTGTTCCACTGTCAAATAGCTCTTACTGTCAGAAAGTTCTTCCTGATGTTTAACTGGAATCTCCTTCCTTATAAAGAAAGGAGGAAGAGGAATGTTTTTGCCTGGTGCCTAAATATGCAATGAAGGAGCCTGGGGAGGAGGACTCAACTCAATACTGCCCATAAAAATATAGATCTATAATAAATAAATAAACCGACTTGAAGAAACCTCAGAAGCAAACCTCAAAGGAGCTTTGGGGTGAGAGCCAGCGACATGAGTTCAGGGGGTGAGGCCTCAAGGTGTGTCTACGAGGAAGAACCCGCAACCAGATCATTCAATCAGTCTTCGGTGAGATTAAGCAGAAGCTGAAAAATTCACGAAGGAATCCCCCCCCTCAATTCCCAGGGAATGAAATGGCCCCGCAAGACTCCCAAAAAAGTACCTGCTGCCGACATCTCCTCTTCCTTGGAGTCCCAGTGAAAGGGATCCTCTCCTCCTTCCAGCCGGGAGATGAGGTCTGGTTTGGGAAATCCTTTCAAGGGAACTGAAAGACATGTTGTTTTGGGGTAGAAAATACTTTGGCATTCCAAGCCCACCCACTCCTATGACCTCCCGAATCAGGGAAAGGCAGGTTCTTATATATGCTGGCAACAAATAGGAGATGGGAATCTGAACTCAGTGGAATTCATCTGATACTTGGGTTTTAGTTTGGGGATATTTCTGCGTATGGGACACCTCAACCTGATGGTCATTTCTCCTCCCCATGAGAACCTAAGAACCACCCTGTTGAATCACAGAAAAGGCCTATCAGATCTGGTCTAGTCTCTGGTCAAATAATCAAACACACCCATCTGTTGTTTGAGGGAACAAGGAGTAGAGCTATGAAGGCCTGGGGGAAAGGCAGAAAAACTGGGGAATTTCCAAGGTTTTTTTCTGAATTTGTTTCCGAAAAATTGGGGGAGAGAGGAAAATTGGGGAGAAAACTGTCCCCCGTTTTCCCTTGCCTTCATATTTCCAACAAACAGGAGGAGAAAAAGGGATGTTGTGTTCATGTTAAGGAAAAGTGAAACCCCATAAGCTTCACATCTCCACAAACTGTGTTTTGCCAGTTTTCAATATGGCATTAGTCAGGTCCGGGAAATTATGGCCCAGGGGACGCATTGTGGGCCCACAGCCTTGCCAACTGTTTCCACACTGGCACCTCTGCAGAACAGTGACAAATTCCAAGAATAGGAATCTACCCCTTTAGCGTCAGTCCACCAAGGGACGATTGTCCTTACCCAAAGAGATGAAAGCCGCATAATTCTCCAGCATGACTTCCTTGTAGAGAGCTCTTTGGCCCAGATCCAGGAGATCCCACTCCCTTTCGTGAAAGACACAACCACCTCCTCAAAGGACACCAGGCACTGAAAGAAGCACATATTCTGTACTCAGAATATTCTTCCCTAAATACACCATTGCTCCCAGTTTGAAATGAGGGGCAGTTAAGCTACTAAACTGTGGGGATTTTTTTATTCATTTATAATATTTATGTTTTTTTAAAAAAACAACAACCACCTAGTTTTACAGCTGCGAAGCAGTATAGCAGGTGCTGTTAAGTTATGTTAATGAAGCTGTTGGGTACAGTATATAAAGAGCAGCACCTAGCTCTCTCAGTACCCTGGTGGATGGGTCATGCTTATTGATATATTATAATGAATGTAAAATGAGTTTTTGTTTTTATTATTAAAACTTAGCTAAAGTTATTTTGCGTTTCTTGAATATGTGGTCTGCCCAGCAAGCTTTCTGCAGTGCAACTAGTCTGCAAATAGCCAACAATAGTTGCATTTAACATAATGATAAGGTACTCATTCCATCAGCATTGGGATTTCTATGGGTGCAATGGAATTCCCCTCATCTCCCCCCCCCCAATCTGTGCTAGGGGGTCTCCCAACTCTCTGGAACACATATGGGGAGTGGGCAGCACATGAGCAGGGTGGAATCCTGCCACACTAGCAGTAATCCCTGAGCTGACGGAATGAGTTAATTGAAAACCACCCATCTGCTACGTAAATGGCTTAAAGATTTCTCAACATACAAAGGCGGCATACAAATTAAACAAATCAGTTTTGCTATCGCCTTACTATTTTTTTCTTTTTGCTAGATTCAAGACTCTCAAGAAAAGGCCACAGCCTTCTCGCTTGATCATCTTCATATATTTGGGCATCAAGAAGAAAGGGGAATGTTTTTCAGTCCCTGCCTCCCGCAGCATAGTGAGACAGAACGGAGGTGTCCAGGCTGCCCCCTGCATCTCTGCCAGGTGGTCCCTAACTTACCTGAGATGGCTGCACATCTGTTCTTTCTGCTCCATCCCAAAGGAGGGAGGATCCTGGTAGTGCCTTCAACGCCATTGTGCTGCCTAGGGAGGAGACGGAGAAGATGTAAACAAGAGACTTCAAGTTACAAGAAAGAAAATTCCAACCAGACATATGGAAAAAAATTCTGACAGTAAGAGATGTTCAACAGTGGAAATGTCTCCCTCAGGACGTGGTGGACTCTCCTTCCTTGTAGATCTCCAAGCAGAGTCTGGAGGGCCACATGCCATGGATGCTTTAGCAGAGATCCCTGCATTGCAGGGGGGGCTAGATAAGAGGACCCCGGGGGTTCCTTCCAATTGTATGATTGGTGCTGCCTGCTGAGCTCTCCATGCCTTGCCTCCCTGTCCCTTCCAACTCTACAATAGTATGATCCTATGATGATGATGGGATGCGGGTGGCACTGTGGGTTAAACCACAGAGCCTAGGGCTTGCCGATCAGAAGGTCAGCAGTTCGAATCGGTCCCTGGTCCTGCCAACCTTGCAGTTCGAAAGTATGTCAAAGTGCAAGTAGATAAATAGGTACCAATCCAGCGGGAAGGTAAACGGTGTTTCCATGCGCTGCTCTTGTTCGCCAGAAGCGGCTTAGTCATGCTGGCCACATGACCCGGAAGCTGTACACCGACTCCCTCTGCCAATAAAGCGAGATCAGCGCCGCAACCCCAGAGTCGTCCGCGACTGGACCTAATGGTCAGGGCTCCCTTTACCTTTACGATGATGATACTAATACGATAATAATAATAACCCCCATATACAACAATAATACTAATAACCCCCATATGCGATGAATAATACTAATAATAACCCCATATATGATGAATTAAATAACAACAGCAACAGCAACAACCCCCATATACGATTAATAAGAATAATAACAACTAGTGCTTTTTTCTGGGGGGACGCATACCT